ATACATATAATTTTAAAGTTACAAAAGTATTATCCTGTGTAATTTTGGAACAACCAATACTTGAGTACTGGAAACTCATATCTAAAAGTTGATAACCTGGCATAGTGGAAAGAATATAGAATTCAGACTTAGTATTTACTTTAGAAAAGTAACCTCTTCTAGGCCCAGGGGTTAGCCCATCTGTGAAATGGGAGTATAGTAGTTGAAAGACAAATAATGTGGAGAGTTGGTAAGGATACAGAGCAACGAGAACCCACATATACATTCTGGCTGGAACTATGAATTGAAAAAGCACTTTGAAAAACTGTCAGTATTTACTAAGGTTAAACATTCATGTATGCTCTGACTCAGCAGTTGCACTCCTGGTATATATGCAACAGAAATGAGTTTTTATGTCCACCAAAAGATGTGAACAAGATTGATCATTAAGTACAAAACATAAAGCAATGCAAATGTTCATCAACATAAGAATAGTGTTATAGTCCTATAATGCATTACAACACAGAAATGAAAATGAACAAATTACAGTTTCAAGCAACATGGGATAAAAACACATATATAGCACTGATACTTCCATTGTAATCCCTCTATCACCCTCCTGTCTACAAAGCCACATACCTATGGAGTTGAAAATGGGTTCAGGTTTGAGGCCACAAGAAGAAATTCAAAGACAGTGAAAAGCAGAAGCAGCTCCTGGAATTCAGCATGATTGCTGATATCCCCAGTTGTTGGAGTTTGTTAAGAGAAAAATGTGCTTACACATTTTAATTTGAATTAATTACCCAAGTGAATATTGAGGGAGATCAAGCAAATCAACATAGCATTTAGGTTTTATTTTAACGTATTTCTTGTCAAGCAGGTTAATGTAGAGGGGCACAGTTTCTATGAGTCTCTGATAGGCTCAAACACTCAGTCTAATGCCATGTCTGATAGAGCAGATGCTGGAGTGAAATTCAGGAGATCGTCCTGGGTTCTGGTGTCAGACCTAACCCAAAACCTACCCGGCCATGGGTAAGGTCCTTCAGCTCTGTGGGAAGATCCCATCTGGGAAAGGACTCTCAGTTACTAGAAGGGACAGAATTCACTATTCACAATTATTTTAACAAGTGCAATGACTATGCATATTATTTATTCTTAAAACAAGATTGCTGATAGTGCATGACAAAATATCTGGTCAAGTATCAGGTCCACCCAAAGCCATATGGTCCCTGCCTAGTTTCAACCTCCAAAGGCTGATGTTGTTCGCACTTACCTCTGTGTGGGAAGATCTTGGAAGCAGAGGTAGTTAAATTATGGATGGGTTTTGGTATTACTTAGTAATGGTAGAAGCCGTGAGGGGCAGGGCTGGCCTATCACATCTCTCAGATGGACCACAGGTCAGCATGCAAGGACTGGACTGATGACCCACTAAAGAGAAGTCTGGGTGCTCTCATGTTCCCCTAATGTCCTCCTCAGGGACTGGGCAAAACCTGCCTATGACCCTAGATTTGTTTTTAAAGTCCCTCAAAATAAAGGGAAAGAGTGGCTACTTTTTCAAACCTCCTCCTCACACCATCCTTATTCTCCCCTTGTCCAGTAGTAACAGGCCAGGATCAAAGAGAAGGTGGGCAGTAAGGGGCCAGGAATAAGGACCAAACCCATTGTATTGGTGGCTGCACTGGGAGCTGGGATTTCATCCTTCTGAGTTGACGTCGTGGGTTTTATTTTCAGGCATATGTGCTTGGAAGTGAAAAAAATAAGATAACATTCATTTAGCTTGTGTGTGTGTGTGTGTGTGTGTGTGACATTATTTTTCTTAATCAGTTGCCATATGCTATGGTTTGAATGTTTGCGTCTACTCCAAAATTCATGTCGAAACTTAATATCCAACGTAATGGTATTAAGAGGTGGAGGCTCTAGCAGGTGATTAGGCTATGAGGGCTCTGCCCTCATGAACAGGATAAGCGACTTTATAAAAGGGCTGGAGGGAACTGCCTAGGCCCCTTTCGTCCCTACACTTTCCTCCAAATGAGGATGCAGCAACAAGATGCTTTCTTGGAAGCAGAACCTGATCCCTCAACTAGATACCAAACTTGCTGGTGCCCCCTGAATTGTGAGAAATAACTTTCTGTTCCTTATAAATTACCCAATCTCAGGTATTTAGCAGCATAAATGGACTAACATGATGTATGAGGCAAGAATTATGTCCACGACTACTAGCCCTGAATTTATATCCTTAAATCTCCATGAATGGAAGCAAAAGATTAGACAATAAAGCAACCAAACCTAAGCAAAGAGCCACACCAGTTTCCTCTTCAACATTCAAGACTGAACATCCCAGGAAGGCTCTTATTGGTTCAGCAGGGTCACTTCCCCATACTCTGGGCCAATAGCTCAGGGGCTGCGGGTCCTACATTGGCTGACCCAGCAGAGAGTGGGGTATGAGCTGCACTCACTGAATGCTCACATCATCCAAATCTTGCATAATTGCAGCTCATTAAGATTTGTGATTTTTAAAAAGACTTTTGACTGGGAAAGAACAGAATTGAATAAACCTCAATGAAATAGAATAAAAATTTCAGAGTCCAGAGAGCTTGGCAAGGGGATTGGATTGTTTCTTGAAGTTTTTGATATATATTTCTGTGCTTTTTGTTTGTTTTCATTATGTATTAACGTGGATTCAAAAAAAGCTTGTGATATTTTTATTCCAGTAACACTGTTTCCCCAGGAGTCCTGCTTATAGTACATTATTTACAGCAGTTAAAGCTGTTTCCCGTAGTCTTTTTTTTTTTTTTTTAACAAAGAATTAGAGCACTCTTGTTCACTTAATCTCCTTGTTCGTGCACCCATCAGGTTAATAATCAGATGTACTCATTGCCCCATCTAGCCTTTCAGCATCAAGCCCTGTTTTTTTCTCTACTTACCAGATTCATCTGTCTCAATCACCCCTGCACTCTCAGCCAAATTATAACGCATTTTTAATGTTCTTTCACTAATGTTTCTATTTACTTTCTGAATTTACAAGAGGAAAATGGCAAAAACACTATAACTGTCTTCATGGATATGATATATTAAAAATGCCTTTTTGCATAATACAATGTATATGAGACCAATATGCTAGAATAATTTTGGTAAAACATTTGTATGGCATGCTGACAGACACTGGCATTTTGAAGCAGCATGATATAAATTAAGTGACTTAATGAAATGTTTTTTTTACAAATATGTCCACAGCTCTTTCTCTGAAAGAGAAAGCCTTTCTTTTCAAGCCACACATGGCTCTGAAAAGAGCCTTGGTTTTCCAAAATGTCGTTCCAAATGTGTAAGTCAATCATGTGGTGCCTCTTTGGGCAGTTTACTTGCAGATGATTTTATTGTAGTTTTTCCAGGTCTCCTCTGCAGTAAAATCCTTTTTTAAGTCCTTTTATAAGATTTTTTCTAATACACTAAATCATGATAAATAACAGTCTTGATGAGAGGGCTCAATTTTTCTGAATCCTGACTCTAATGATGGTAATGCTAGTATTTGCCATGAAACAAACATTGTATAACTCATTATATTAGCAAAGGAAGTTAAATCATGTACTGAGATTAACTGAAGATTACCCTTTTTTCCTTTAACATCATAAGGTGAATCATACTTGTATTTTACTGGAACGTCTTTATATTTTTGGATGAACCCTGCTTTGTCCCTTTGTGTTCATCATTAACTATGATGCCATATATAATTGCTAATATTTTATGTAGGATTTTATATTCTTGTTTATAAATGTCACTGGTCAGAACTCCTTTTAGCATATTTTCTTTACATCAAAATGATATTTTTTCCCTTCATAATCTGACACTATTCCATTAAGAGAAAAAAACACCTGTTCCTTAGTGGTTTGACATGAAATACTTTTGGAAGCCTGGCCTTTTGGGATGGTAGCTCATTGGTGACCTCGATTTCTTCCATTCTTCTTAGTCCTTAAATCTCTTTTGTGGGGAGGAGAGTGGGTTTAGTTTCTGTAATTTATGTTTTCCACAAATTTATGCATTCAATCAACATTTTCAGTTGTATTATCATAGATATTTGAAAGAGATATTATTTCCATTGAATAATATTTCCTACATTATTTCTCTCTTTTCCCTAAGGAGGTTAGTTAGATGTTTAGTAACTTTTTTCAGCCAAGAACACTGATATTTATCCACAAATTATACAGTTTAAAGTATGTTTCTGGGACTTAAGTATTGTCAAGAAAGTGATTTTTAACTTGTTTAATGCTTATGAATATTTTACATGTTAATAAATATTCCTGGTTTTTTGTGTGTTGTTTGGAGACCATAGTTTTGTCATCTTTCCTTGAGTCACTGAGGTTTTTGATCAGAATTAGAGGCAGTGGTTTGTTAGCCAGATCTCTTGTTTTCCACGAGCTCCTCTCCCATGTGGGAGGATTCTTGCTCAAGCCACAGTGGCTTAGCCTAAGGTGACATTAGATTCTGGGTTAGTGGACAAATAGCCCAAACATGGCCAGCATCATTCCTCTGGCATCACGGACCTGGGTTATGGAGATCAGAATCACTCAACAAGTTGAAGCTGAAATTGTTACAGTTTAGCTGCTGTAGATGGTATCTTCAAAGTGCTCTTGGTGGAGCCTACAGGAAGCTTTCAGTGAGACTGACCATTTCATGCCTTCTCATTGGACTGTACCACATAGAACTATCGAATCATATTTGCCATTGTGTGGTTTATTGGCAGGGTTTCCTCGAATTACATTTCATCTAATTAGAAATTGTGTGTGTACCCAGTACTTCATTTGAATACAGGGCCTATACATGGGCACCACCCTGTCACCAACCAGTATCTCTTTCATTCCAAGGTACTGAAAACAATGTCTGTCATGGCTGAGCATCCTTCTAAATCTTACTTTAACATAAAGGGCTTTAAGAAAGTCATTTCCAAAACACAAAAGGGGAAGATGTGAAAAGAGATGCTGCAGAGACAGTTGAGTAACTGTCTATATTTACATCTATGTTTACAGGGTTCTGAAGCAATTTCATCCTTATATCAGCACTACATTAAATTCCTTGGGCATCATGAATGATTTTCTTATTGACATCTTTGAGCACATCACCACCAAGGCTGGCTGCCTGGTTGCTACACTGAGTGCTCCACTATCACCTCCAGAGACATCCAGATCACCCGAGCCCGATGCTGTCTGGGGATATCCACAAGCACACTGTATTCAAAACCAAAGGTAAGAACCATGTTCCAGTAACGTTGAATCTACTTTAGTTCTTGAAGTGTGATGTCCTGCTAATTTTAAAACATCTTCTTTTTTTGCTACAACAAACTAAATATTATCAATTTTAGTTTAATGTATCTATGGTCCAATTTGTTTAAAAAATAAAATAGTGGGTTATACTTAATAATGTTGCATTATACCACTTTACTAATGAGTCAGTTCTTTTAGTTATTTTTGTAGGTCAGCCATTCATCGGACCTGTAAGATGTTATCTACATTTTTCATTCCCATTCCCTCACAAATATATGCTGAAATTTTCCAGAGATACCTTATATATTATATCCAACAGATTAATTGCAGGAACATATATAAGAATTCAGCAGACTTCCATTAGAATAAATATTAAAGAGATTTTCAAATAAAAAAGTCCATCTCCTTATGACTTGTTTTAGAAAACACATTTTTCATATAAATTTACAATGTAAGTTTACAGGATATAATGGATATTTTATTGTAAGTTTAAAATGAATTAATATAAATATATTAAAAATTTCTGTTTTACTATTTAATATAATAAATATTAACAGATATGACTACATGAAATTGTAAAGCTTCATTATTTTTAAACTGAAAATAGCCTCTTTCTCAGGGGTTTTGCCACAAGAGAGGAAGGCCATTCTTTTCCATACTTTCACCATACAAAATTCATTTGCATATTTATAGACTGGAATTATTTCCATTTCTTTAAGTAACTAAAAGCGTACAGAGCTATAAAATTGCTCCTATAGAATCAGAATCAAACAACCCAGAAGGGTGTACTATAGCTAACACACAATTTTCCTTTGAAGAACATTTTTTCCTATAGCTTTTCTATTTTTGATAAACATTAATTTCAAAGTATGGTTATTCTTGACCACAAAATAAGGCTGAACTCATTAGATTTGGCTTGTTTATTTACACAGATACAGCAGAAATCCTAATTTACTATATAGTCCTTCTTTAGTATTCATTGCTAAGAGTTTTCATAATGATGATCACATTGGACTTTTTTACTGTATTAAAAAATATATATAACATAAAATTTACCATATAAATAATTTTTGGTGTACAGTTTAGTGACATTAAATATATTCACATTGTTGTGCAACCGTTATCACCATCTGTCTCCAGACTTTTTCATCTTCCCAAACTGAAGCTGTACCCATTAAACGACAACCTCCCATTCCCCCCACAACCCCAGTCCCTCGTAACCACCATTCTACTTTCTGTCTCTATGAATTTGACTATTCTAGGTACCCCATATAAATGGAATCATACAATATTTGTTTTTTGTGTCTGACTTATATCACTTAGCATAATGTCTTCAAGGTTCATCGATGTTATAGCATGTATCAGAATTCTATTCCTTTCTAAGGTTAAATAATATTCCACTGTATGTCTATATCACATTTTATTTATTTATTCATCCCTTGGTGGACACTTGGGTTGTTTCCATCTTTTGGCTATTGTGAATAATGCTGTTATTGACCATTGGCATACAATATCTATTCACGCTCCTGTTTTCAATTCTTTTGGGTATGTACTTAAAGTGGAATTAATGGATCATATATTAATTATATGTTTAATTTTTTGAGGAATTGCCGTGCTATTTTCCACAGTGGCTGTACCATTCTACATTTCCATCAACAATGCACAAGGGTTCCAGTTTCTCTGCATCCTTGCCAATACTTGTTATTTTCTGTTTTTATTTTTGTTTTTTCTCATATAGTAGCCATCCTAATGGATGTGAAGTGGTATCTCATTGTGTGGTTTGGTTTGCATTTCCTTACTAATTAGTGGTGTTGAGCATCTTTTCGTGTACTTATTGGCAATCTGTATATCTCCTTTGGAGTAATAGTCATTCAGGTCCTTTGCCGAGTTTTTAATTGGATTTTTTTTTATTGTTGAGTTGTAGGAGTTCTTTATATATTCTAAATATTAGTCCCTTATGAGATATATGATTTGCAAATATTTTCTCCCATTGCATGGACTGCATTTTCACCATGTTGATAGTATCCTTTGATGCACAGAAGGTTATTTTGATAAAATCCAATTTATCTATTTTTTGTTGCCTGTGCTTTTGTTATTCAAGAAATCATTGCCAAATCTAATGGCATGAAGGTTCCCCCCTATGTTTTCTTCTAAAAGTTTGATAGTTTTAGATTTACACTTAGGGCTTTGATCTATTTTGAGTTTATTTTTGTATACGGTGTAAGGGAAGTATCTAACTTCATTCTTTGACATGTGGATATTCAGTTTTCCTCACATATTCATTGAAAAGACTGTCCTTTGCCTCATGGAATGGTCTTGGCAACCTTGTCAAAAATCAATTATCATATATGTGAGAGTTTATTTCTAGGCTCTATTCTATCTCATTAGTTTATTTGTCTGTCCTTAATGCCAGCACCATACTATTTTGATTACTGTAGAGTTTTGGTAAGTTTTAAAATCTGGTAGTGTGAGACCTCCAACTTTGTTCTTCTTTCTCAAGGTTGTTTTAGTTATTCAGTATCCCTTGAGATTCCATATGAATTTTAGGATGCATTTTTCTATTCCTGCAAAAAATATCATTGCATCATTGGGATTTTGATAGTGATTGAATCTATAGATCACTTTGATTAGTACTGACATCTTAACAATATTAAGTCTTTCAATCCATGAATACAGAATGCATTTCCATTTATTTCTGTCTTTTAAATTTTCTTTCAACGACATTTTGTAGTTCTGAGTGCAGATGTCTTTTGCCTCCTTAGTTAAGTTTATTCCTAATTATTATATTCTTTTTGATGCTATTGCAAATGGAATTGTTTTCTTAATTTCCTTTTTGGGTTGTTCATTGTTAGTGTATAAAAATGCTACTGATTTTTATGTGTTGGTTTTGTATCCTACAACATTGCTGAATTTATTAGTTTGAACAGTTCTTTTGTGGAATCCTTAAATTTTTCTACAAACTAGGTAATGTCACCTGTGAACAGAAATAATTTTACTTTCCTTATAACTTGAATGGTTCTTTTTATTCATGTAATTGCTTTGTCTAGAACTTCCAATATTAGTTTTAATGCAGGTGTCTTGTTCCTGATCTTAAAGGAAAAACTTCCAAGCTTTCACCATTGAATTTTATGTTAGCTGTGGATTTTTCACACTGGATTTTTAAAAGCCTCTTATTATTTGCTCATCCTGAGGCTATAAAGGAAACTCAAGAAACTTTTCTCACTGGATTTCACCTGCACTATATAAAATTTGGGCCAATTCTTTCTTCTGGAGATTATCAAACTATCTCAAAGGTCCTGGCCTTCGTTTCTCACCTGTAAAGCTGGGACCCTGAAAGCCAGGTACTAAGTCGGTTTTCCTCAGTGGGCTCTCTAGTTTAAACCTTAATTCTCTAACTGTAGCTGGTTTATACTTGATTAAGTGAGCATCATTCTCAAATATGATATTTCAGACAAGGCCTTATTTGCATAACCAAATTTGCCAATTATTAATATATCCTGTTTAAAAGGAGGACAAGTTCTTGTTGAACCTGTATAGATCACTATATTACCATGAAAAATAGAGTATCTAATTCAAATTTGTGAATTCTACAGAGGGTGGGGGTATCAGAGAGAAAAAGATAATTTGCAAATGTTTTGTTTCAGTTTATGAATGCCAAGTCTACTCAATTGTTATGGGTTAGAGATATGTAAGAAAGACAAGGCTGCGTTATATGTCCAGAACATAGAACAACATCAACAATATTAAAAAAAACGACAAGAATCCCTCATCAGATAATTCAATCATATATGATTAACTCTTGTTCTGATGGATTTGGGGTTAGCGATCTCATGAATCCATCTGCTTCTCAATTTAAAAAATTCTGGAAATCCTCAGTCTATTGGTATGGTTTTAAAGTTGTTGAAGCAGTGACTTCAGAAGTTAGCCAGGCGCAGTGGCTCATGCCTGTGATCCCAGCAGTTAGGGAGGCTCAGGCAAGAGGATTGCTTGAGGCCAGGAATCAGAGACCAGCCTGGCCAAAATAGACCTCCATCTCTGCAAAAACCAACCAACCAACCAACAACAACAACAACAACAAAAACACCTCAGCCTGGCATTTGGTGCACACCTGCAGTTCCAGCTACTTGGGATCCTGAGGCAGGAGGATTGCTTGAGCCCAGGAATTAGAGGCTTCAGTGAGCTGTGATCACAACACTGCATTCCAGCCTGGGTGACAGAGTGAGACCCCCATCTCAAAAAAAAAAAAAAAAAAAAAAGAGAATCAGCAGCAGCAGCTAGTACCTTTCATGTGTCAAAAGACTAAAATACATAGCATAGTTTTGGGGAGAGGGATACAGCTCCTTTCCAGCACCCTAACATCTTTGCATGTATTCACATAGGCCATGAAGGCAAAGGTTGAACCCCTGCTCATCTAAATCTTGAAATAATACCTTTTTGGTCTTGCTTGAGCATGAGAGCATGGCAAGTCTCTGAGCAGCTGTTAACCACACCATTTCTCACTCGCCTCCGTATCTAGCAGGAGACTATCATGAGAGTTTCTTATTGCCTCTTGGATTCTGATGAGGTGTGATTCGTTCTGCGCTACTTCTTTGGGTTACAGCTGCAGGCTGTAAAACTTTTTAGCTGCATTTATCATTTTTTTGTGGTGGCAACATTCACAGCCTATTCTGTTAGTTATCTTGAACTATACAATACATTGTTATTTGCTATAAGTCACCCTACTGTGTAATAGAACACCAAACTTATTCTTCCTGCCTAACTGTAACTGACTACCCCAATTTGATCATTATACTATGTATACATGCATCGAAACATCACATTGTAGCCCATAAATATATACAATTATCATGTGTCAATTATAAATAAAAATTAAAATACTGTGGCTGTAGTACAGCACTGACTTCTTAGGAACAGGATGTCCTCTCACACATGTTGAAGTCATTTGGCCCCTTTTGTTTTGCCCAATACAAGGGACAATTTGCTGCTCATTAAAAAAATATGTATGTAAGTAATAAAGTCTCTGAATCTGATAAGAGCTAAGTGTTTCTTTACTGACCAAATCTATCACCCTGCTTAGTGTTGACATCCATTTCCTCAGGGCTCTGAGACAGTCCTCCTTTCTTGGAGAGACAAACTCCAGCCTGTGACTGATTGCAGAGTCTTCTGGCAAGCATCAGAATAAAACAAAAACTACTTGTGGATGACAGAGGCTTAAAATGGGGCTGTGGTTAATTTATTGATGGTAATTTTCTGAAGTGAAAGAACTGATGTGTCTATAACAAGAATAATGCAATCGACAGAAAATTTGGTTATTTCTGTGACACAAAGGATATAAAGTTAATCCACAAAGTTTTAAACACAATGTATATAAAGATAGTCATTATACAGATTTTCAATGAAGACAGTGAATATTACA